GCAAAATGTCAACTCAATAAAAGAGACACTAACTGTATTCCATCTAATGAATCAAAACGTTTCATCATCTATGATATTATATATTTCTCTTTTGGAACGATAATTAAAAATAGTACTATCTCATAGTAGTGTGCGGAGATAGGAATTCCATTTAAAAGTTTTCCAAAGAAACTCAAGATGATAACAATATCATCAATAGCACTCAAACTACCTTCAGACAAGTTAATAACTACTGTAGCTCATATATTAGATAGATGTTTTTTTAGATTTAAAACTCGTCAGTTTTTCTCTTTGCAGAATCTTCTTCAAAAAAAAATCACAGAATTTCCATTAATAAATAACTACGCCTTTTTTGATTGAAATAAGTGGTGTTACGGAACAGATTATAACTTTTGTTTTTGATTCTAATTCAGGTCATAAAATTATCATTAATATAATAGAACTTATTATTATATTGACTTATTGCTATCATTGACAAAAACACACACATACACACAAATACATTATACAATAAAACAAATATTTATACAAAAAGAAAATGAATAATATCTCTGATCTTTTTTAACTACTCTCAGTTTTTACTATAGTGACTTGATCGTTTCCATTTTCTGATTTTTCATTATCATTATTTATTGTCGGTGGTATTGATAGATTTTCAGTTGTTCTTATTATTGACTCATCTTTTTGTTGATTTAAAGATATTGTTTTTGGTATAGAATGACAGTATAAACGTGAATTATCATTTAATTTTCTTTTTAAATCAGGTCCACATAATTTTTGATGTAAATCCCAATCACGATGTTGGCAATATTGTCCACAATAACGTGCTATACTACAACCAGAACATGTTTCTATAGCTTTACGACCACAATTCCAACAATGCTAAAATCCATTGAAATTTTTTTTTATAATTAATTCTTGTGTTTTGTATCAAATAAAATCATACCTCTGGTCCATCTTCTTGTCGATTAAGTAATGCATATGCTTCTTCAAATTTATGTGCTTTTAATCGTTGATATTGTTCACGTTCACGAAGTAAAATTTCATTCGATTTTTGTTCAGTTTGTGAAATAGCTTTTTGTAAATCAATTAATGATTGACGTTTTATTTCTAAAACAGTTTCTTCTAAAATTTCAATATAAAGAAAAAAATATATATTTAAAATATTATCATTTACCTGCTTTTCGACGAACTTCAGCAATACGATCATCAGTTTGTGATAATAATTCTGCATGTCTTCGTCTCCATTCAAGATCATTTGTTTCAATTAGACGACGAATATGAATATCTTTCTGTTGTAACATAAATAAAACTCTTTTACTTTTTGTTACCATTTCAAGTATGCAATTGAGCATCTAAATTTAACAAAAATAAAAATAAATTTTTTAAAATAAAAATAAATTTTACAAACATTTTCTGCCTGTTTCCAATCATCTTCTACATCTTTTAAATCACTTGTATATTCGCGTAGATCTTTAATAAAATAAATAAACATTTAAGAGAACAATTATGAGACCATCGAGTATACAAGACGCTTGATGAAAACAGAATTTTAGCGGCCAATACCTTTTCTTTAAAAAGTTAGTCAATGTCGACTTTTTACCGCTATCGTATACTAATGAGAAAAAACAACAAAAAATACACTGTAAAAGTTATGCTTGTTTTCATCTCAACGAATCATTCGAATTTTTTATAAATTATACTAAAAGATCGAGATTTGAAAACTGAACAAAATGAGCCATTCTCAATATCGTACAATGTTGACCGACTCAAGTTTTATAAGACCAGCGTTGATGAAAAATGACTTTTACGATAGATCGAAAATGTCTATTTGATGACAATCTATCGTCTGTCAAGATTCAGAATCAGAGAGTTCCAAGCTAAATTTTATATATGTTATACAGCTTTGTATCTGCTACAAATTGATAAAAACATATTCAAAAATAAATGGTATATTCGAGGTGATATGAAATTCACATCCCTCTCTCGCATAATGGTTTTTGATGATTTTTCAATTACAAAAAAAAAAAAATGTTAGCGATTTTCATTGTCATGACACAGTTTTAAAACAAAATAAATACAATATTCAGAATCAGCGTCAAAAACTACATTGAGTCAAATATATAAAAAACTCACCTTAGTCCTTCGAGAGTCAGTTTTTCGCAAAAAAAAACATTTCTCTAAAATATATTTGACTCCATATCGTATTTATTTTGCTTTAAAATTCTGTCATTGTAATGAAAATTATTTGAAATATTTTTTTTTCTGTTGAACAATTATCAAAAACTATTATGTGAGAGAAAGATATGAATTCCGTGTCACCTCGAATATACCATTTATTTTTGAATATTCTGTTACCATTTTGTAGCAGATAAAAAGTTCCATAACATAGATAAAACTCAGCCTGGAACCCTCTGATTCTGAATCCCGACAGACGATAGATTGTCATCAAATAGACATTTTCGATCCATCGAAAAAGTCATTTTTCATCCATCTTGGTCCTATAAACCTTGAGTCGGTCAATATTGTACTATTTTGAAAATAACTCATTTTGTTCAGTTTTCAAATCTTGATCTTTTAGTATAATTTATAAAAAATTTGAATAATTCATTGCGATGAAAACAAGCACGACTTTTGCAGGATATTTATTGCTATTTTTTCTCATAAACTTATGGTAGTGTTGAAAAGTTGGAGTCGATGATTTCAGATATCGATGTATTGAATGCACAAAAGAAACAATTCTTTTTTATCGAGTGCTTGGTATACTTAATGACCTCATAATTCCTCTCTTAAAAAGTTAGACTTTGATATTTACAAGAACTAAATGCACGTTCTTTATCAGAACGTATTGATGTTGTTATTGAATTTACATGTGTACGATGATTAACTGATGAACGTTTTGTTGCATACGAACGTTCATCAAGTTCATTTGAACTAAAAACAAAAAAAAGCAATGCAATACTATTAAATCAATGTTAACAAAAATAAAACATATCATTTACTCGTTAGATAATTTTCTTTTTCCATTTTCATTTAATTGTTCTTTCGATGGACTAAGATCATTTTCAAGTACATCGCGTGATAGAAATATTAATTCTTCATGTTGAGCAATAAATTGACTTGTTGATTGTTTCGATTGACGAGCTAATTGTAATAGATCTTTTTGTAGAAGAGGCAATGTTGACTGAAAGAAAACAATATATCAGTAAAATATTATACATATATATATATATATATATGCTTTTTTAAATAACTACTTTTAAAAATGGTAATGCAAATGGTCTTAATGGAAAATTTGTTGCTGCTTGTAATTTTCCATGAAATTCTTCGACAGATAAAGCGTTATTCTAAAATCAATAATAAACATTTGATATTTTATAATATGTATCAAAAACAAAATCAATATAGTCTTATTCTCATTGAGTAGAAAACTTACAACAAGAGCTAATATCAACGCTCGAACACGTTCACCTATTTCATTCGATATATCTGAACCAAAATAATATAATGTACTAAGAAAACATCGTAATTTATCTAATTGCTTTGATGGTACTTGTATCGGAGAAATTGGTCGAGTAGTTGTTGATGTTTGTGTCTGAAGAGAAGAAGATAAAGGAGGTGATTGTATATGATTTGCTGTTGTTGTTATTAATGATGATGATGATGATGATGATGATGATGATCCATTATTATTATTATTACTATCACTCACTGTAGTCATTGATGGTAATGAAATCAAACTTTCATTTGTATCAGTCGGCATAGATGATCTGCAAGAAAACAAAAAAATTAATTTTCGAATAACCATCAAAATTTCTTCATTTTTCTTTCCATACTTCATCATTGACAGCTGTCACTGTGAACAAGCTGTTTCCACTTACTATTATAAGTCCAAAAAGAAACAAAGAAAAAGCATATCTCATTTATACATAAGAAAAAAGATCTCTAGTTTATTTCATTTCTTATTATAAAATACATCAAATTCATTATAGAATATTTCATGATCGATTCATAAAACACAATACAAAACAGATATATATATATATATATATAAATTGTCCAGATTTTGTCTTTAAGGTATAACAATATATGCTTACCTGATTCTGCTCATATATAATGCTAAGTGAATAGACCGAAAAAAAAACGAGAATGAGAGAGAAATATTTCCAGATGGTTAGTAATTCTCTGAACATTAAAAAATATCAACAAGTAATCGAATGAAATGTCTTGCTTATTTTCTCTCTGAGAATGATCACCATCTGTTACTTATAATCAGAATGATACAACAAGTAGCAGACTGTATATGATGTTGCAGCTGATTTTCTTCTCAAACTTTATAGGTAGAACAAAACAACATTGGACACAGAAGAAAGAAGGAAAAAAAAACAGCAACTGTGCAGATGTAGAAATGTATGGTAGCCAGAGAATGCTCGATCGTCAAGGGAATAACGATATACAGATGGCAGACATTTTGCTGATCTGCCAGATGGTTCAGATTATTTTCTTGTGGAAACGAACGTAAAAAATAAAGATGGTAGCTATTTGGCCAAATGTTCATTATAAAAAATTTTCAAGGTCATATTAAAGAAATTTTCACTCACATCATATATCATTGAGTTACATGGTACAATGAGAAAAACAATTAATTCTCTTTCCGTCTGTTCACAAGTTGTTCTTATGCTGATTCGAACGTCAAGTCAAAGAGAAGCAAAGAGCAATTGCCCTTTCCTCTTCATAACAAGAAAGAAGAAAAAAAGAACAGCTGTATGAAGCGAGGGAAAAAAAAACTTGACGAAGACAACAATATATCCACAGACAATAATGACGGAAAAAAAAGATATAATATTCCTTTTTTTTTTTCTATTCTTCTTTCATCTATACACATAAACATAAAACTTATTTTTCTTGCAGATTGTTTTTTTGCTTTTTGTTCAATAAAAAAAGAAGAAAGACACAAACTGAGCACACACAAATAAAGAGAATAAAACTACTTGGATGGACTAGAAAGCACGAATAGGTATTGGTTTATTTGTTTTAAATGATACTTGTAATACACGATTACCAAGTGTAAAACCATTAAGTGAATTAATTGCCATTAAAGCTTCATCATAATTAGTCATTGTTACAAAACCAAAACCTTTACATTTTTGTGTTTGAAAATCACGAATTATTTTAACATTTTGTACAGCACCAAATGGTCCAAATAATTGCCATAAAATACTTTCTTCAGTTTCAGGTGCTAAATTATAAACAAATATACACCAACCAACAGCTGCTATATCTTAAAAAGAGAGAAACAAAATTATTATTTAGGTAATTTTCTAGGTGAATCTATTTACCAGTTGTTGGTGATAATGTTGTAGCTGATGCTGCTGCAGCAGCAGCAGCCGGTAAATAAGAAGCTGTAGCAGCAGCAGCAAAGAAATCAGCAGGTGATAAAGGTGAATATCTATATTAGAAAATAAAAAAACAAGACTTCATTTATAAAAAACATTCAAGTGTAATATTGTATTAAAAGAAAAAAAGCTCATAAATAAAACAAAATAAAAATTCACTCACCGATATTTTGATCGTTCGTGCGTTTCTCTATGCATAAAAACTTATATTTTGCAAAAATAATACGAGCATGAAATCATATATAAATATATATTTCACAGAAATTATAAAGCAGCATACCTGTACCTGTTTAATTGTTGACGAATAGATGGTACAGTTGTAAGTACAGGTTGTTGTGGTGTTGGAATACCGGATAAATAAGATGGTGCTAATGGTAGACCAATCATGGATTTAGCAGCATTTGGTGTATTAGCAAATTTCACATTTACTGGATCGGCAAAACCTATGATGATAAAAAATAAAAATTAGAATTGAATTTCGTCGTTTCATATCCAAAAAATCTATCAACTGATTCGATCTGATTATTTCACATAATAAAAATGGATGTAGTTATCAAAAATCATGAAATTAGAACTTAGATTGTTTCTTTTTCAAGATAACGAAAGTCTTCATTGGAGTTGGAAGTTTTGATATGATTGCTTCGAGCTGTTGTATCTTTGTTGCTGAGGTATCGAATTTTTAGTAGATTTGTCTAGTAATGCTCCAGTTTTCAAACAAAATCATACTTTTGAATTTTGATCTGAAACTTTATTCACATAATGACTTTGATTAGAGTTGCTTGTAAGAAAAATTTCACAATTTTTAATAAAGTTTCTCTGAGATATAAATCTTTCGAAGGATTCATATTTTTACAATTGTCATGATAAAGCATCATTATTTTGAAAAATTTATACCTCGAAGTAACTATGTTAAAAATTTTGAAACTTTTTCTATGAGTCAGTCTAGTTGGAGTCATTATGTGAATAAAGTCTCAAGTCGAAATTCAAGAGTATGATTTTACTTGAAAACTGAAGTCCTGTAAGAAAAATATACGAAAAATTCGATATCTTAGCAACAAAAATTCAACAGCTCGAACTATACTGAAGTATTTGCCTTCTTACTAAACTCTATCGATTGAATATAGTCACAACTTACAAGCGACTTATCATTTTGGAGGTTCTCCTTCGTCGGAAGAATGAAACCTATTCATGGAAAAAATTTCAAGTTGAAATTCCATAATTTGATTTTTCTCCTATATGCTGAAGTCTTCTTCTCATTTTATTGCAATCCTATCAAAATTTATTCTCATTGCTAATATGAAATGATAAATTGTGAGAGAATGATCTGTTCTTTGCTTGCAGAAATTCTCCTCTTTCTGAATGTTAAAATCAAAATTTTTTCGATTTTTGGTTTAGTTTCGATGTGTTCTCTGTCAAATGCCATATAAATGAGGGCTCTTCATAGTTAGTTAATATTTTTACTAAACTCGACTGTCAAAATCCTTAGCAGAAAAACTCGGACTACGATTATTCTTTGTATGCAAAATTCTCCTAATGACAATTTCTAAAAGTTCTGAGAACATGAGTCTTGGATCACTAACACCGCTGAACACGGTCAGTTTTCGATCACTGTAATTGAAGATAAAGTCTTGATACATACAAGAAAGTTTGTTTTGCATTTTTCTCAAAATCAATTTTTGAACAAGAAAAACGAAGTTTTCTCCTTTGCCTTCCACATGGCACATTCGATCAGACTCATTTTTTTTTCCTCAAAATGTTGTTCCTACGAAATTCGGCACCATTTAAAAAATGAATACCATTACAAAAACAAAACACGTTTTTTTCGATGGTACTTCCAGTATTTTGCTTCTTCTGAGCTTTGAGAACGATATTTTTGAAAGAAAAAAACCACGCACCTTGACTTGATCCTGGTTCTCATGAAAAATAAGTTGCAGCTCGAAAAAATGAAGTGTAAAGTTTTACAGGAGGGAAAACTTCTGGCCATTTTTGACTTTTACGACTCTCATATCTTCCTGACGAAAGCATCTAGACATTTTGAGTCTATGATAATTTTTGCTCTACTTATCGAGATCTATCTGTCTTGAAGGTTTCATTATTTTTTGTGTAGTCGTTTTCGAGAAACTCCGGATTTTTCTTATGCATTAAACTCAATGACTGAAGATCATCCTATATTCAGTGTGATAGAATCCATTATAACAAAAATAGATTTTGATTTTTCAATATACTATCAATGTGAACTGTATTCAATAGTATAAAAGACATCTCTGAACATAAGATCATTCTCAAATTCAGGCTCTAATGGGTAAAATTTTTCATTCAATAACATCTTTGATTTTCTCTTTGTTTCTTAATTAAGGGAAAAATTTATTCTTCAAGAATTTCCTACCTTTTGGAATAGTGCCATTAAGTTTACTAATAGCCACTTCAGCTTCTGATCGTTGATCAAAACGAATAAATCCTACACTTTTTGATGTACCTTAAAAAAAAAAAAAAATGAAATTCTTTTTTTCTTTCAATAAATTGTTTTTTGTTTTCTTAAATTTAAATCAAGCAGAATTAAGACAAACATGCAGTTAGATCTCAAATATCTTCTCTACCTGCTTTCGGATTGCAAAGAATTTTCGACGAAATAATACAACCAAAATCAGCAAACATACTCTCAAGTTCCTGCTGAGTCATCGAACGTGGGAGATTTGAAATATAAAGATTGGAAAATTTGATTGACTCCGAAGAGGGACGAGCAAAAGAAACCTGAAATAAAATTAAATCAAATAAAAAAACAAAACAACATAATAAAAAAAAAACAACAAGAAATTAAATCATATTCAATAAGCAGCAGAGATCGATGGATTTTTTTTGTTCGAAATATTTTTCTTAATAAACCTGTATTAGAATCTGTTAATATTCGACTTGTTATTATTTTTCCACATGATGTAAAATAATTTTCAAGTTCTTTTGTTGTCCACTGTTTTGGTATACCACATATATATAAATTGGCAAATTTAATTGTTTCCGATGATGGACGTGCAAAAGATACCTGTATCTTCTGAATTTTTATTTCAAAAAAACATTAAAAATTTACTTTAATTGTTTTATTTTGTAATCGAAGACCATTCATTGTTTTAACAGCTTTATCAGCATCTTCAATACGAATAAAATTAACAAAACCATAACCAAGACTTTGACCTGTTGTTTTATCTCGTACAAGTTTACATGATTCAATAGCACCAATTGTACCAAATAAATCTTTGATTTCATCTTGTGTCATTGTTTGTGGTAAATAATTAATTATTAAATTTGTACGTATTTTATCTGATATATTTGATTCATCATCTGTTAAACTACCACCACCAATTGATCGTGTTTCACTTGTATTTCCATTTTGTCGATTAAATGCAGCCATTTCACTATAATAATATTCGTCTTCGCTTTGTTGATTATCAATTAATTCTTGAGATTTATTAGAGGTTGGAGTTAAAGCCTATGAATGAACAAATATTGGTTTGTATATATATATATATGTATAATAGAAAAAATTAGTACAATATTTTTCTATAGAAATACTTTTCTTTATACCTTGTAAACATGCCAAGATCCGATCATCATTTTGTCTGTATACGAATAGAGAAAAAGAATCGAAGACCGGAACCGGCTGATGCCATGCCGAGCTGACGCTTTTGTCTTTTTTTTTGTTTGATTATTCATCGAGTCTCATTATATATAGATATGATTTTTATTTTATTTAATCAATTTTAGAAATTTGAAAAAAAATTCAAAATGATTAATTACATTTTAGAAACAAAAACAAAACATTTTCTATTCAGAGACGAAAGAAAGAGAGAGATTTAGTTGATTAGCATATATTCTATTAGATACTCTCTCATCTAGAATAATAGAGGAAACAAATCAGTTTTGTCCAATAATGACAAGCTTGTTGATCAATGCTCGTCCAAAAGAAGATGACAGGAAACAGATATTTCGTTTATTTTTTTACTTGACATTTGTGACACATCGGCATTTTTTTCTCAGAAAGAAAAAAGAAAAGAACTGAACACAAGCCCACACACATAGACGAACGGATTAGCATTAGTCCATTCTTTTGGCTCATTGACTTCAGCTGTTTGCCTTTCAGCAATAGACACACATACATACATTATATTTTGACCATCCGGTTATTAGTTTACTTGTTTATATGTATCGTGAGAATAGAAAAAAAAAAGATTTATGCCTGGAATTAGCACATCATCATCGATGTACGATATTTTTCCTATCAGAATATTTGCTTTTTTTTGGCACGTAACTACCACAATATCGTGATATATAATTGAATGAAAATGGACCGTATTTTTCTTTTCAAAAAAGACTATCGAATAAACAGAAGCAAAAGAAAAGATTTGATTACCTGAAGTGTTCTCATATCTTAATCTGAATAGATAATAATGAAAATTTGAAAAAAAAAGTGATAATAATCAAATAATAGAATAAAAATATGATGATGATGACGACAAGAGAAAAAAAAGAAATGGAAGAGAGAAGACTGATTTATTGATAAACACATTGATCATACATTCTTCATCGGGTACCGACTATGTCTTCTCCCTTTTGGTTTTTTTATATTTATATGGATGTCGTCGTTGTCGATGGCGTTCTTGCTCTTGTACAGAACACGTTGTATCAGTAATAGAGGATAAATGAGATAGGAGAAAGAAATCGAGCAATGACGATAACGGAGATGCAATAATGAAAATAAAAAGTATAGATGATGGATCGATCAATTAATGTAAAAACAAAGCATTATCCATACAGGCAATAATAATACTAACGATGTAAAAAGAGAAACCCAAGCTAGAAAGTGATCTAGAAGAAAAAACATTTTATCGACGATAGCTATTCTAATTGCATGTGTCCATATCAATATTCACTGAATATGAAAGTATTTTGACATCCACACACACACACACATACCTGTTTATTTGATTTTTGTGTTGAATGTTCAGATGTTCGAGTGTGATCTATAAAAATCAAATAATTAATTTTATCAAAATATTTTTATATACCTGTAAGAATATCTTTATTTGATTAGGCGAATTAAAAGAGAAATAGATACAATTTAACAAGGCGCGAAGGAAAGTTAACAACCGATTAACTAATACATACATTAGGCGGGGAAAACAACAAAACGGGAAATTATTTTTTTTATTTATTTCAACTTACATCGTTGTTTTTTCATTGATGATGAAGTTTTCTTCATATCTTCGTTGTTAAATGCTTTTGAAGCTAAACGTTTCGACGACGTCTTGAACGAAGAAAATTCAAGTTGATTATCATGCAAGATATAATTATATACTTTCTCTCTTTTTTTTCTCATCACAGATAAAATACAAAACAAAAAGAAAAAAGAAAAACGCTGAGATAAATCTTCTTAACAGGAGCTAACGAAAGCAAAAAAAAAAAGAAAAGAATCTACTTACTGTGATTAGGTGTTGATGCTTATTCTCTAATGAAATCAATACACAATCTATGAAGAGAGTGGAAAAAAAAGAATAACAAATGACTGAATGTCAATTCGTTATGTGTCTTCTGTGGTTTTTTTTTCGCGCAAGTCACCAAGTGAACACGTGTCATTCAAAAGATTCAACTTGATTTTCATGTCTTTAGAAACAAAACAAAAAAAAAACGATAGAAAATCTACAATAAATGTATGTATATTTGGCATAATCAATAGATGATAGAGAAGATTCAAAAGAGTTGTAATGACGCAAAAGAAACATCTGTCATAATATATGAGCCAAATATAACGTTTTTTTCTCTTGAATTTATTTGTAAATGAAATCAGAAATGTTGAATTGAAGGGAATATCCATGCAAATTTGAAGATAATAAGAATCCCAGTTCAAATTAAACAAGCATAATTAATAGAATAGTTTAATATGACCTAGTGTAACATTTGTACATATCTGTAATCGTTTACTCAATGTTTTCTTATACAATTACGCACATATGAGATTATCATATAAGTCTATATTAATCGATAAGAAATGATCATGGGTAAATTCCATATCTGTGTTGCCAGGCGTAGAAGTGAAGATTTTGCAAATTGTCTATGTTATTCACAAAATATAACCTTCGATGTTAATCAACATTGTTAATTTTTTATCGGTTTGGATAAGAAAATTTCTCATGACTTCTATTGACATATAATCTCATTAATCATTGAAATAATAAAAAAAATCAAGTAAGACTTATCTCTATATCATCAATATTCTTCTAATCAGTCATGAATTTTTGAGAAACAGATGTCGTTAGTCATCAATAAATCAAACAATTCTACGTTTAATCCTTTCAAAATTGTTTAAAATCTTTTAAATAAATTTAATATATTGTTTTTAATTCTTTCTTAAATAATTCTCAACATTCCTAAAAAAAGCGACAAAACTTTATAAAGGCTTTAATCTGTCATGTAATGGAACTTTAAAATGACTCATCATTAAACTAGATGATGATGATCATATCACTTGGTTAAATCTTTTTTCTTTTTCAAAGTAGATCAATAAGTTAAATAAAATATGCCATGATTGAATATTATATAAAAATATTCTATAGTATTATGATTATAAGACAATGTCAGCAGTAGTTAGTGATTTAAATTCAGCTGCTGGTATTAGCAGTAATCGTTATTTATCATTTGATTTTGTTTCAACATCAAGTCCACATGATGAATATGAACTTATACAACGTATTGGTTCAGGAACATATGGGGATGTGTATAAAGTAAATTAAGAAATTCAAATAAAAATTTCTATACTTTCTTTTTTTTTGCTTCAAGGCAAGACATATTCCAACAGCATCAATGCGAGCTCTCAAAGTAATTAAGCTTGAAGCTGGAGATGATTTTAATATAATTCAACAAGAAATTCTTATGATGTTACAATGTAGTCATCCAAATATAATTGCATATTTTGGAAGTTATTTAAAGTAAAAAAGAAATAAACAAAAAAGAAAACAGTATTCTTATATTAAATATTTAGACGAGATAAATTATGGATTGCTATGGAACTTTGTGCTGGTGGTTCAATGCAAGATATTTATCATGGTTAGTAAAACAATCTTTGAAGTTTTTTTTTTTTTTTTTGCGAAGATAAAAATTTTTATTTTATTAGTTTATGGACCACTTGGTGAATTACAAATAGCTTACATACTTAAAGAAACATTAAAAGGTTTAGATTATCTTCATAGAAATGGAAAAATGCATCGAGATGTTAAAGTAAAAAAATTTTCTTACATAAAAGAAAAACAAATAAAAATTTCATTTTTTTAAAAATAGGGTGCGAATATCTTATTAACAGAAGATGGAAATGTTAAATTAGGTAAATGAGTATTTTTATATTAATCTCTCGATTCGAATTTTTTTGTTTCTTCAGCTGATTTCGGTGTAGCAGCAAGTATAACAGCAACTATATGTAAACGAAAATCATTTATTGGTACACCTTATTGGTAAGTGATAAAACAAAATAAAGATTATTAGACATTATTGATTAATTTAGGATGGCACCTGAAGTAGCAGCTGTTGAACGTAAAGGTGGTTATAATCATTTATGTGATATATGGGCTGTTGGTATAACAGCAATTGAATTTGCTGAATTACAACCACCAATGTTTGATTTACATCCAATGCGTGCATTATTTTTAATGTCAAAATCAGGTTTTAAATCACCAACATTAAAAGATAAAATGAAATGGACAATAACATTTCAAAATTTTGTTAAATTTGCATTAACAAAAAATCCTAAAAAACGACCATCAGCTGAAAAATTACTTGACGTAATGGAAATGAAAAACTTTGAGACATTTTTCTTTTTAAGTTTTATTTTGTTATGTTTAGCATCCATTTCTTCAAGGAAATTTAACTACAGCTATTGCACGTGATCTACTTGATAGAGTACATAATGGTGCAACAAGTAATCAGATATCAGAAGATCGAGATGATGATGATGATGATAGAGTTAGTCAATTTTATTTTAAAATTTTATCAATTGATTTCATTTTTTTTTTTGTGTATTATTTAAGAATAATTCTCAGGCACCAAGGAAGATCACATCGAATAAAGAACAACCTATTGTATCTTCGTCGAGTAAGATTAAGATTTTTATTTTTATAGAAAGGAGAAAATAGAATGCATAGGAAAAATCATTTAACTGATACAAAAATCTGTGATTTTTGTTTGACTTTCTTTTTATTGTAATAATCATAATGTTATTATTTAAAAACAAATTTAGATGTTCGTCCAATAATAACGAATATAAATCAACCACCATTAATCCGTAGTTCAATTCTCAATGATCCCATTCAATCAGAAACAAATGGAATTAATTCGACAAATGATACTGTAACTTAAATCTTTAAAATTAAACAAAAAGACAGAACCTTCATAAATCGTATGTTTTTCTTTTAGCGTTCTGCAATAAATATCGATGAAACGTAAGTAATAAATAATCGACAATGGATTTGTTTGCAAATCTATTTATCTAGTGGACTTTTGGATTCATTTCTCGACGAATTATCCCGACGGTATTTTAGAAAAAAAAATTCCTAGTTGCTAAAAAGAAAAAAAAACTCAACGCTTAGCATGAATAGTTCCACATATCTAACATTGAATATTTAATTTGAACAATAAAAAAATATTGATTTTATTTTTTTTATTTTTAGTGGACATGTTCCACCATCAATAAAACATAAAGATAATGGAAATACTGAACATATTCAAAGATTAAAATCTTTAGGTTTAGCTGATGAAGATATTCAAGTAAATGAAGAACGAAAAAAATTTTCTCGAGAAAAAAAAATGAATTTTTCTTTTTTTTTTAATTTCTAGCGTTTAATGTCTAAATTACCATTAAGTGCATTTGATGATTTAGCATTAAATGAAATTAAACATATAGTTGACGTTATGCGTGATGCTGATGTTGAAGAAAATGAAGATGAATTAAATGATAATAATACAATAAAACGATCACCATTACCTATATCATTACCAGCAAAATCAAATAAAACAAAGAAAAAAGATCAACAAATGATTTATGAAAATATAGATACAAATAATAATACATTAAAATCAAAAAATGATGATAATACATTGAAATCAAAACAAGATAAAACAACAATGTCAACATTATCAAATGGAATTCCAAGTGTACCTAGAGTTCATATGGGTGCTGGTTTTATGAAGATATTTAATGAATGTCCATTAGAAATTCATGCTAGTTATTGTTGGATTAATAATGAAACTAGAGGTAAAATTAATGAGATTTTTTCAAACAAAAAATAAAAAATATTTTCTTGTTGACTAAATAAAAGAATTTTTCGTTTTTTTATTGAAGAACAAAAAGCTTTTCTATGTCTAGGTAATCGAAACAAAACGACATAAAAATGTGATAGAAAGGCAAAATACGTCTGCCTTTCGGGTACCTTGAGGGATGATCTGTTGCCTAGCAACAGATTCAATAATCTGATATCTTTCCGACAACTAATACTAGCTGTAGCTCTGGACACAAGGTCGATCTGACATGCACAGTTCTTGAGCTTCCAATATACATTAACTAACCTCAAGGGCACATGTATGCCACAACGTACTCAGCATGCTATCGGATGGATTATACGAGACAAACAGCCGTTAGTGACTTGTTCAGGGTCATTTCATATCAGATAGTACCAAGATTTGAGCACAATACCTTGTGGATACGTACCAATCAACGTAGCCCATCAGCCTAATAGTATTTGACTGCATACATCAAACAGCAAGAGTAAAATTTCTTTTTTTTAAACTTTCCTGCGCAAGTTTCAAAGTAGGTTTTTTCTGATACACACCACTGAAATCAATAGACAAGAAGTTATCGTGACTGAAACTACAAAATCTTGATCTTGCGCATTTATAGTGACAATACCAATATTAGCCTTACAAGGGAAGGTCCCAAGTCGGACTCGCTAATCGGACTAATATTTTGCCCTGACGAGACTAGTAGAAGCCTATAAGGATTCGTTCCCCAGCTATTGTAATTTTACTGAATTTTTCATCTCTGGCAAAGTATTAGACAAAAAAAATCGAATTATAGAATTTCGATCTGAAATTTTGCCCATAGGTGGATATCGTAGGCATTAGAATGTTCTGAGAATTTCAGCGTAAGAGGATATGGCTGGAACGTCCAGGGCGTTCTAATATCCATGGGACCTACCTATAGGCGAAATTTCAGATTGAAATTCCATAATTCGGTTTTTTCACCGATATCTTGCCAGAAATTTTTAAAAAATTAGTAAAATTGTAATAACCTGAGAAAGAGAGTGCATGAAGATTAGAATCCATCGAGTCCAAAATTTTCAGATCCGAGTTCGATACCAACTCGATGAGATCTAATGGGTATGAATCCTTATAGGCTTCTACCAGTCTCGTCGGAACACAATATCAGTTCAATCGACGAGTCACACATGGAAACTTTCCTTCGTTAGTGTATGATCTTTTCAAGATTGAAACTAAAATATACCAACGTTGAAGTTCTAACTAGAAATCACATAATAATCAAATTAAAAAAGGCAAATACTAACTGAATTTAGACTATGTAATTTCGCGCTGGATCGGATCTGAAAAGAAATAGATCCGCGTCTCTTTTTTTTTTTGGCTTCATAAATTTTACTAACTAATAAAAATAAAGGAAAGATCTATCTTTCTCTCAAAGTTTAGATATTAATTAATACGGATAACCAAATAAAAATTGTAAAATTTGATTTTTTTTTCAACATCTGATTTATTTTCTTTTATTAGATCAATTGGTATTAATTGCTGCTGAAGAAGGTGTTTATTCTCTGAATCTCAATGAATTGCATGATGCTACATTAGAATTGGTAATTTAACTATTGAAAACAAATTCTTTTCATCAACTATTCTTTTTAGTTATATCCAAGACGAACAACTTGGTTATTTGTTAAAGATAATATTCTCTGGTCAATCTCGGGTAATCATTTTGTTTTTCAAAGATCTTCTGTTTTTTTTTTCTTATTTCCAAATTTTATTTTTAGGAAAAGCTAACACATTATATCGACATGACCTTCATTTATTATTTCATAATAAAAGTACAGCAAGACTATCTCTTCAATTAAATAAAATTCCACAAAAATTTGAAAAATTAATGCCAAAGTAAAAAAAAAAGAAAAATGTGAGTTTCTTTTTTCCAAAAAATATTTTTTGTTGTTTTAGAAAATTAGTTACATCAGTTAAAATAAATAATACACGTGGATGTATTCGATGTTGTGTTGGAAGAAATCAATTTAATGGTTTTATTTATCTTGCTGGAATGTTAACAAATGAAATTTTTCTTATGCAATATTATGATCCATTAAGAAAATTTATGCATTTAAAAGTATACACAAACTTATTTTTTTGTCTTTGTTTATTTTATTCTCTTTTTCAGACGGTTTCTATTTCAATACCTGCTGAACCACCAATATTTGAAATGATTTTTTCACCGGAAAATCAATATGCAATTGTATGTATTGGTGTTAGTAAAAGGTAAATAAAATTTTTTTTATCTAATTTTTATTGTTTAATTTATATTTAGTAAATCTGTTGCTAATTCATATAAATTTGCTTCAATTAATTTTGAAACGGAAAAAATGGAAAATTATCATGATGGTATGTAAGATGATGATTAGATTGAAAACAAAAAAAAAACAGTTTTTATGGAAATGTATCCAATTCGAACAACATAAATAAGAATATTTTCAATTAAATTAGTTTTTAATAAAATTTAAACCTAAGAAAACATTGAAGTTTTAGTTCGTAATAGTTTTCAAAGATCGATACAGTTCTATTTAATCCTCTAAGTACCATTGCTTGACCATGATTGCTAGAGACTTCTAAATTTGAGTGATCATTATTAACAGGAAATGCTAATTATCCAAGAAGTTTAGGCATTTTTTCTTGGATGATTCATGAGATTTAAACGTTTCATTTCTTTTACCATAAAAGCAAGCAACTCCTGACGAGAGAATCTCCTCAGATGTTCCCTTCCGATTTCAATGATTGTTTTTTGTCTATAGATACTACATAGTGTTCTAATAAAAATCTTAAAAAGATATGACTAAGTTATCGAATTTTTAGTGTATCTATTTTCTATAGAGACCCTAGATTTTCGAAAAACTTGTATTTTTGAATTTTGATCTGAAACTTTGTACATATAAAGAACTCAACTAGACTAGCTTCCATAAAAATACTCAGAAGTCTTGAACAAAGTCTTCTCGAGATATGTGACTTTCAAGATGAAGATTCTCTTTTATGGATAGTGTCTACAAGATGCATCTTTTGAAAGCTTCATGTCTCGAAGAGACTTTGTTCAAAAATTGTGAATTTTTTTATGAAAGCTAATCTAGTTGAGCTCTTTATATGCATAAAATTTAGTAAAGGAAAACATCACTCATTATAGATAATAGGAATAGAGAGGAATCTTAATTTCTTCAAATTCTCCAAACAAAATCTATACTCTTTTGTAAATCAATTTGCTTGATATATGCTTCTTCCAATAAATAATACATTAAAAAAATACTTGTAGGAAAACAGTTAACGAGGAAATATTTCTAAGTATCAACTTGCTTTTGAGTAGAGATTATGTGCATTATGTAGGTTTTAATGAACTATGAATGCCATGAAAAGCGTTCGGGTTAATAACTAATTCTATCGAGATATTGTATTTTTTTAGCACAATGCCGTGGTTCCGTCAGGAAAACGGAGTTTCGAATTTCGACTTAAACTTTCACAGTAAGCTATTCTCATTGAGACGCGTCTCTTTGCAAAATTTCGAGTCGAAATTTGAAACTCAAGTTTCCAGGTGTTCCTGAGGGGGACCACAACATTATTCTGAAAAATACAGTACTTCGGCAGTAATAAGCTATTAGTCCGAACCTTTTCAAGGTTTTCATAGCTCATTAGAATCTATATGATGCACATAGTTCCGAGTTTAAAACGATTTGAAACTTAGAAAACGTTTCCTTGTAAGTTTTCTTCGTACATTCTTATTAATTTTTATCTTAACGAGTTAATTATGTGTTTAGTTTCTCTTCTATCGGATGTTTCTTATGTACTTCAACATGAAAAGGATGCTGATACAGTGCTTATTTGTCATGGAAGTAAGTTTAAAAATAAAAAAAAACCTGGGAAATAAAATTCTAAGTTCTATTTAATTTAGATAATATAGCAATAGTTAATTCTCAAGGTAAACCTCGCACAAGTAGACGAACGTTATCTGAACTTCATTTTGATTGTGAAGTTCGATCATTAGGTAAAAAGTATTGAAATAATTACTTTTTTAATGTATTTTTTCCATGTTTTTAAGTTTGTTTACAAGACAGTGTACTTGCATTTCATGAACATGGAATGCAAGGTAGAAGTCTCAAAGATAACGAAGTTATACAAGAAGTTTATGATCATACTCGATCATTTCGAGTTATCGGTAGTGATCGGTAAATAATTGAAATTTTTAATATCTAAACAAATTTAGTTCATTGTGTTTTTTTTTTCTAAAGACTAATTGTCTTACAAAGTCGTCCATCATTATCTTCCAAATCGTCGGATATAGATAATAATCTCACACAATCAATAACTGCATTAACTACGGCATCATTTTCAACATCACCATGCGATTTGCATATATTAATGGGTCATGAAAATACATAATCATATTTATTCTTCCATGTTTCTTTTTTCTGTTTATATATGTGTATAAAAAAAACAAAGATAGGTTTATCATGCATATAGCCGGCCGGTATTATGAAAATTCAAACAAACTTTCTGCTCTTTTCTTTTTTAAAGTCAATTTCTTGTTCAGCTTTTTTTTTTTCTACGTATAACAGTGTTTTGTGAAAAGAATAATTCTTCATTTCAATAATCTATGCGCGTGTGTGTGTATTCAAGGTCAGATTTGTTATTATACTTCATTTACTAGTTAATCGTTCTTCTATATTCATATATATATATATATATATATGTAAGGCACTGTGCAATAGATGAGCGACCTTATTGTTTGCTCTATAACATACAAGTGCCTAAATTATTACTTCACGTATGTGTGTATCTTTATTCAGATAGTGTGTTTGTTGATTATGTGGAATGAAATACGTATGTGTAAGAGTATCATTATCGTCTTATTCGACTCTATGACTTGTGTTTTTTTTCGTGTCTTTTGGTATAAATGAAATTTAATTTACGGAAAAAAAAACAATGAAAATCAATCAAATTTTTTTCACAATGGAATATGTTGAAGGATGAAACTAAAGATGTATCGATAAGATCTGTGACTGATGATATAGAAAGATATCTTTCAGTTAGAATCTTACGGGACAGTCTCGAATTCCGAAAACTCTTATTTGTAATATTCTGCGGGACATTCGGGATCGAGGATATTTTGCAAATAAAACCGAAGATTCGGAACCAGAAAAAAGTTTGTCATGCAACTATAATGGATGTTATTTTAAGTATAACTGCTTTAAATAATTCATCGTTTTGATGTTTATGATAGTTATAATAAATGGAATATTTTATTTAAAATTTAATTATATCCAAAAACTTTTATGAATACAATGGCATTTCGTTTTGAATCTCGATCACGCCGTCAAAATTCATTATGCTTTCGTACTCTATTTGACTACAACATTACCAATTATTATTTCTTATACTACTGTTGTTAGTACTTGCTGTCTTTTAATTAATTTCATTTTATTACAAAAAAAAGTAGACGTAACAAGTGTAAAAAGAAACAATTGGTAATAGAACTACGATACCATAGTGACTATCAGTATGATTAGAACAGCAATTCAGTAAAATATTCAATATAAATGTGCTTGAATTGATTAACATATACCTTCTTTTTGATCGAACAAAGGTTACTATTGAATTTATAGAGAAGCATTGCTTCAAATAATTTATACAAGCTCCTTAGTGGTTTATAAAAGAAATTCTTGCAAATCGTGTTAAAACAATATTAAATTATGGTTCATTATTATACTATTGTTAGATGATTTCTGAGTTTTATTTTTAATAACTCGTGATAAAAATAGAATTAGGATCTGCAGGTTTTGTCAATACGAAAGGATTCGAGAAGATGACGTTGATATATGTACAGATTAATCCACAGCTACTGATGCTTATTTTTTTAAAATCAATTGATCGTCTAAAAGTTATTGTCTTTGAAAAATATTGACGTGCTTCGAATTTAACACCAGTAATAGTATTCAAAAATAAGGCAAATGATTCAATATATTTTCTTTTATTTTTATTGGATGTTTATTCAAAATTCGTGTCAAAGACTATAACTTTCTCATCAGTTATATACAAGCCAAAATCGTAATTTGATAATATATTCAAGCAATATTGCCTTTCGAAATTTTTGTACAGTAGTTTAACTAGTATTATATTTTGCTCTCATCTTCCTCGTGATCGTAGAACAATATGTTATATCTGGACAATATATAAAAGAAAAGAAAAAAGAAAAAAACAAAGAACAAGAATAGCTATAAGAATCATTTCTTATATTCTCACATACGACATGACATGTAACGAAGTTAACTGCATAAATTTATCCTGTGCTTTATGTTATGATTGTCAACAATCACTCTGTTTAAATCATATTATAATACATCATGATACTTTTGTTGAGCGTCATTTATCATTCTATGAAATTCTTCAACAATTATATCATAAACTTCATTCAATGAGTATTGAACAATGTTATCATCAAGTATTCGAACAATTATCATTAAATCATACTTATACGACAGATACAATTCTTCATCTTCGTTCAATACGTGAAGAACTTATTGAACAATTAAATAAATTTAAACAAAACCAATTTAATCAATTAAAAAAAATTAGTTTTAGACTTTATGATACAAAACAAATAATTGATAATGATGAAGCAAATGATATTAAAATTAAATTAGAACAAATTCAAAAATCAATTAATTCACTTGTTTATGGTATACATTTAGAAATGTCTAAAACAACAAAAAATATTCAATGTCGAAAAATTTTTCATCATAAAACACAATCATCATCCGATATTAAAACAGATTTATTATTACAAAAAAGTTCTAGTTGGACAAATGGATCTACTGAAAATTATTGGAAGAAAAAAAATGAATCAGATGAACGTTTATCATTGTTTTGATTTATTTGAAAAATAAATATAGAGCAGCCAGTTTATTATATAGAAATTTACTAACAATCAAAACTAACAAACATATTATAGGTCTCATCTTTGATTTGAATTTAACCTTTTATCCTTCCATAGCGATTCGAAAAAGTGTCACAGATGTGAAAGAATCATTGGAATAGAATATTGTTGCCTCCGATATATATCGATAGTATGAACAGATCGATCAGGAGTACTCTCATTGATGACGGCAGTTTAATCATTTTAGTGATCATTGGAGGTAGAACGACTTCACAAAAATTCTATATCAGATCACATATATATTTGATATAGTTCGACGAAAAAATGTCGTAAACATCTCGGATATGTCTCATTTTGTAGAGAATGATGTGCTTTACCATTACGTATGATGTGATCAAATTTTATGCTCGAGTTGAAGGCACTAAAAAACTAAAAGTTAAGTTTTCTGGAAAATTCGTAGTGATCATTCTATGTTTTTCCCATCTCTTTTCCAATTAGCTTGTGTAAAATTTTCGGATGATATTGATACCAGTAGTAGACATTGCTATCGTTATATATCACACAATACATTTCTGTCATATATCTTGTTTGTTGAGTAAAAACATATCTTATTTGAAAAAAAAACTAACTACAGCGGTTTTTTTGAATTTTATCGATTTTGTAACTCATCTTTTTCGAATATGATACGATACAAAACAAAATATTTTCTTATCAATTGATAGTTTATGGATTTCATTACAAGATATGCTCTTAAGTTTTTTAATCCCACGTTTCCTTTATTGTCTGCAATCGTTCTATCAATGATCGCTTCCGTGACTAAAGGGAAATTGGGTAAAGAATTAAAAGAATGTATTTATCATAAACAATTGTTTTCTTAATAATAAAGATTGGATACTCTGATGTTAATTATAAAATAACATAATTGACATGTATTGTACTATTTAGAAGTTCTTAATTCTTTTACGTCGAGATCTTTGTTCGTAAGACAAATGTGAAAAGCATATTTGCAATAATTTCGAAAATGACAATCAGAATAACTACTAGTGGAATATTCATAATTATAATCTTGAATGAATGAGTGACTTTGTGACAGCAATACATTTTTGTCTAACAAAAAATTATTGCTGAAGATATTTGTAGATGAACATTAAAATATTGCATTTTGATATTTCTGAATTATGACCTGAAAAAAAAACAAACTAGTTTACAGTGCTTAAAACTTTGTAGAATCCTCTTAAGTTCACAGAGACCTCCTCACATAGGGGCAAGCTTGTCAGTATACCTTTTTGGAGTTAAAATTTAGAGCTCATATGTCTTTTTCTAACTAGCGAAAACGATCTGTCTTATTTATTTCTCCATCTTTCAGTTTTTTATTTGCACTCTATTTTTTTGTATCTTATTGCTATTCGCTCGTTATTGATTTCCAGATGTCATTATTTTAATGTATCAATGATAATATATTTTTATGCATATATAATTTATATGAATAAATGATTAATTTGTTCTTCAAATATAACTTTAACATTAATTCATTTCGATTGAAGTTTATCTGCTTTTGTTAGTAATATATCAACATTATTTTTTTTTTTAAAAGTAAAATTTCTTGCTACAATATAGATTGTTATTAGTGCTTTAATTTTACTTGTCATCCATATAATAAATCTTGTTAATATTGATTATTAAATATTTAAAAAATTTCATGATAACTGTCAATAAGATAAGTAAAAAGAATATATTTGCAAAATTTTCAAGAAAAATAACTTTTTACTTTTCTAATTTCGTTTGTTTAACAATAGTTTTCATTAAAAGTAATTGTGAATGGTAAAGAAATAAATCACTAATACAAAAATAAACAATCAAATTCTTATGGTTGAAATTCATTATCAAAGGCTGAAAGATTCAATACTTAACATTTTCAGTCTAGATCTAATGAAAGTTAGAAAAAAACAAATTCAAAATGATGGAAAATATAGATGAAAAGGATTGTAGCTCTTTTAGACAAATACATTTGATAATTATCTATTGAATGTCATGCAATAGATTCTATAGTATTTAATTAAACGGAAACAAAATTGAAACTGAACATTCTACTAGAATTCCATGAAACACATGGAAACTGTATTCAATATCAATTAAGTTGTTAACATTATTTTTCGATCTCACAAATAGATTTCAAAATAGAACTATTGATGCAAGACTTTCATCAATATGTGAATAAATTCAAAGCACATTAAAGTACATGATCGAAACCTTTTAGAACTTTTTTATCCATTTTCAAACGACTCATAAGTCTCTTGAGTAGTTTAGTATGATACTATTTTTCTATTCTTGGAAAGTCTTGACAAGAATACAATAAAAGGTTACATGTTTCGAAATTATGTCTTTCAGACAACAAGGAGACAGATGATTTTTTTCAAATATTTTTAATCAGTTTTAGATTAAAAAAATCAAATCTAGCAAAGAAACGAATTAAAGCCATTAGCTTTTTGGATTTTTTTGTCTAAGATAGTGCGAGTAAGGGTCTTCTGTTCATCGACACGCACACTCCCACCCTTAATGTCCAAAATCTCAGAGTTCACGAAACTTGGTCGTTGCTGGAAGATTGTCTTTATTAAAAGGCAAGAAAATCATGTTTATCGAAATAATATGACTATACAATACATACATTAATTTAATACAATACGTTTCTTGAGAACAGACACACGAAAAAAATATTAACATGTAGAAAATGTTCTGTTTCTGAGTAAGAATATTTTTAATGAATTTGATGAACTAAGTGAAGGGGACATAAAAAAGTGCCGCCATACTACGACAATATAAATAGGAGTTAGATAGAGAACAATATGCATTCATCAACAATTTATATAAGTTAATAATAAAAATTGAATAGAAAGTGCGCATAATAAACTTAGCGATATGGAGAGATAAACTATATAAATTAATGGATAACGCACGATGTAGTCACAATCTATTTTGAGCCATAATTTTGTTGGGCTAAAATGATAAAGAAATATAGTTTTTCATCTTCTGATAGCAAAGATACTCTACTTTATATTGTGACAACAACATTTTCTGCTCAAAAAACAGATTTTTTTTTTTCGTTGAAAATTTAGAAAATACCTGGTAGACAGATAAACTGCATCGCCTGTGACGGGCTTCAAAATTGGGACCTGTGCTTGTTTTAGACATGCAGGTCCAACGGTCAGGTCCCGTAAAAGTGAAAGAGGAGAGAAGGTGACTATGTAAAAATTTCCATTACACCCCTTAACCTTCGAATCCAAGCGCAGGCCCTATGGATGGCCTGTTTAAACCACTGTTTCATGGTATACGAGCTCGTGGCATTGTGAAAACTTGATTTCTCAATCATGTTTTAAAATAACAATCAATAGACGAGCGGAATTTTCACATAAACAAACAGCTTGCTACTGTTAATGCGAGAGAGATCAATCGCTCTTATCGGAATTCTGAGGCACGTCATGATAAGGAAATAATGCTATCGTTTTCTGTCCTTCTCAAGATATAATCTAAAAGTTAGGTGCATTGCATAATCTCATTGTCACTCTCATGATGAATATCCTACATATAAAATGATTCTTGTATTCACGACTTTCTCATCTATTACAAAATTATTTCATTTATCAAAATTTGACCAAATCAATCAGTCGAATATGTTTTTACATTGACATGTAACTCAATCGGTAAACTCATTTGTAACACAATTATCTGAATGTTTATCGAATTATTTAGAAGAATGATAATTAGCTTTTCAGATCATGATCATATTTCATTTTTCCAATGGTCAGTTTACATGACTTAAAGATTAAATGTGTACTGCAAATGTATGAAAATCAAATTAAACTTTCGAAAATTCTTATTAATATATCATTTTGAATCATTCATCAAAATATTATCTGTACTATAAATGAATATCAAAAACAAAGTATACAGAAAAAAATAAGATCGCAGCGTTATGGACGGAAGTTATACTATTAACAATTAAAATAAATAGATAAACTGTTGATCACACATTCAATCATGAACATAATCATCTATTGATTTTGCTACACCTTCAATAATGGAATCATATAGAAAATCTTCACGATAAAATATTTGAAACTAAAAATAAAAAAATAATGATATATACAATAAAGTAACTATAATAATTTACCCCCATATTTTTATACGCTTGTAATTCCATCGATGGAGTCGTTGCTTCCATTTCAGCTACGGAGCAAATAATTACATTAGGTGCATCATAGTTACTAAATCCATAATACGCAAAAGCAGCTTTTTTTGATCCTTTTTTGCCATTAGAACCGTACTCATTCTCTATGATAAACAGAAAAGAAAGAGTCGTTTTTTTTTATTTCGAGAAAAAAAACCGTTAACTCACTGCAAACATGACCACCAAACCGTTGAACTAATGTTTCGATTGCTAAAGGTGTATCAGCCATTTGACCAATAAATGCAAGTTTGTAACCAGTAAATATCCTAATAAAAAAAAAAAAGGAACAATAAAAATAAAAAGAACAAATAAAATATTCTTACGCTTGATCTTTCTTTGTAACAGCTTTTTTGTATAATTTTCTAATTTTAGTTAATTTCTTTTTAATTAATTCTTTAGTAATACCATGTGCCTAAATAAAAAATTTTAAAATAACTGCAGCATAGATTATATATCGATATACATACTGTATATTTAAATTCTCCAGCATTTAGTTTATAATGAACGATATATTGAGGGAGAATATAATCACTACGAAATATAACTAGTTCCTTTTTACAAGGTGAACAATGTGAATCATAACCCTAAAATTTCAATCAAAAATAAAATATACAAAGATAGTCACATTTTCTTACATCCTGAAGACCAGCACCGGTAATCAATTGAGTACATTGATATACCTTAAGAAGTAAACAAACTATAGATATTTTTCTCTAATATTTATTATTCTTACTTTTCCTTGTAGTACTTGACATAATAATAATTTTGT